CTTATATAGACAGTTGTTACTTATATAGATAGTTGTTACTTATATAGATAGTTGTTACTTATATAGATAGTTGTTACTTATAGAGATACAGTGTAGCTGTTACTTACCTCAAAATTAGAGAAGATGACAAGAAAGTGAAGATTTCCTATCGTTAGTGATCATGAGGGGAGGGGACCTGTTACTGTCCAAATCTTTGATGTTTACACACCGAGCGTGCTTGCATATCTCTTATATGAAACATTAGACATGTGCATACTGTCAGTTGCTTTTAAGAGTGAATATTGATATTACACGAATTTATATAGAACAATCTCTCACTGAATTGTTAATTGTTCCCTGTGGAAAGGCGGTAGAACTACCAGATATAATAAACGCCTATATCATATAGCATTTTTTCTCAGTTGCATATATATTAACGACTGAAAAGAATTTCCTATATATTATAGGAGCAAATTATATCTTCAGTTCAGTTTCAGTTTCCTTATTTCCGAGAGCCATCCGACTCGTGGGTTAAATCTCAAACAATTACATCGTGTAATGTACAAAAATCATAATTCAAAATCAAATTAATTAAGTGGAAAGTGAGCTTACAAAGTACATAAGTAGTTTTCCATATCAGACATCGATTTCTCTACGTTTTCTCGTAGCACAATATAAACTCTTCCGAGATTTCATAATTGTTTTACATTATTAGTACTCAATAATTTCGTTAACTTAAAAACATTAAGATTTCTGTGATAGAATAGCTTAATTTATTTACATCACAGGTCTTGATGTAATGGGCATTTTAGGATGAAGTGAAATTCATCTTCTATATCACCAGAGGCACAGCGGGTATACAATCTATTCTGTCAAATAACGTTGTTCCGTCTACCCACTTCAATATTTAGTTATGAGACGGCAATCTAAAACATGTAATAATGCGTTTGTACTGTGGTTCTAAAGATTTATATAAATAAAATTGAAGACAAAAATTATCAATAAGGTACTGGTATAAATAACCTTTAGTTGACCTTGATACATCTTAAAAGCAACATAAACAGGTAAATTGTTATCGAACATATTCCAAACCAAGACTAGCGCCACCAGGATTACAACTCATGCTAACATAAACTATCCAGCCATCATTTACATTATTAACACATTCATCATAACATGATTTAATAAACAATTGTCACTTTGTTTCAACCAGTATATAAAAATCCTTAATTTTCTTTGTATGATTTGAGGAAATCTATCGAGCTCACAATAAACTAAATCATTGTAAGTGTTTTTTTCCGAACTAGTAACAATTTCTTATGTCGCTCAGAACATATGTATGCCAGTTAATGCTGATGATGCTAAGATCTTATTTAATTTCTTACATAATAGATTTTATGAAACTGTTGAAATGATTGGTACAGAATATATTAATAAATATCAACTTCAGTATTAGCTGTATGTAGTACTATGTACACATGTGCTGGACAACTTCAGTATTAGCTGTATGTAGTACTATG